GCGTCTAGGCTGTCCCGCTGCCCGTGTGCTCCCCGGCTTTGCTCCGCATCTCCCTGGTCTGCTGGGGGGGGCTTCCTCCCCGCCAGCAGACCAGGCTTTTCTCCGGACGCCTGTGGTAGAGCAGCTGGGGCGCTCCTCATCCCAGGAGGCTTACCTGGGTGCTCGACAAATACTTTTGATGTCGACACCCATGCGTCCAGACTATCATGCTGAGCCGACAAACAGCTGATCAGCTGTTTGTCGGCTCAGCGCAGCAGCCATGTAAATTTAATGAAGCGGCGATTATTTAAATCGCCGCTTCATTTTCCTATGCCGGGTAGTCTAATCTACATGCCTCTGTCGCCAGAGGCATGTGGTCTAGATGTACCCTTAGAGGGAACACTGGTGAAAGGGGGGGGGACGGGACTTGCATGTAACTGTGAAGGTTAACAAGTCCAGGTCTCAAACTCTGTGATACTGCGACCGCCCTCTAAGTTGCTCGTGACCCCCCGGGGGAGTAAGGGCCCCCAGTCTGAGAAATGCAGTGTTAACTATTTAAACAAATACACTATCACATAACTTTGAACTTGCTATAACAGTTTACATTATAAGAGCACAAGGAACATAGATTATTATGCCCATTTTGCAAATAGATGAAGGCTCCAAAAAGTTATTTGACCAAGCTCACTATATACATCAGTAGAAACACTGGCAATAGTAACTAAAAGTCCAAACACCCACTTCTAGCATTCTGAAGAGCTGGCCAAATATTAGTTTCTCACACAGAGTACTGAAAACAACACTAGAGCTAAATTAACTTTTGCAACTGTCCATAAGGAACACTCCCAACTTCATGGGGAAATTTGGATACTATGAACTAATAGGTATTTCCCAGATCCTATTGATAAATAACACGAAGAACAGCAGTGTTAATTTGTTTTGACTAAAGGGGCAATTAGTGAAAGAAAGGCATATACTCACAAATGGCAACATACATCTTCTTACACCACCAAACAGAGAAAAATAATCTTTGATTTCCTCTGCGGGGGGAAAACGTAGAGTCACAACGAAGTCTGCGAAACCCAGCAATCCCCCGAATAGCTTTCAAGCAATGGACCTGTGCCTAAGGCCCCGTAGCTAAGAGATGGGCCCAGCTTCCCTTCACCCCACCCGAAAGGGCACCGCAGGCCGCCCCGCTCCACCCGCGCCTTTGGCCTCTTCTGGAAGACACTGGCGCGGCGCAAAGGAGCCGGCCCGGCCCGCTGGAAACACGCGCAGGATCCAGCCGCTGGCGGCGAGCCCCCCTCTTC